ACCCAGGCTGGAGTGTGGTGGTGCGGTGGTGCCATCTCGGCTCACTGCAGCCTCTGCCTCCTGGGTTCAAGTGATCCTCCTGCCTCAGTCCCCTTAGTAGCTGAGATTATAGGTGCATGCCACCATGCCAAGCTAATGTTTGTATTTTTAGTAGAGACAGGGTTTCACCATGTTGGCCAGCCTGGTCTCGAACCCCTGAGCTTCAACTGATCCACTCGCCTTGGTCTCCCAAAGTTCTGGGTTTACAGGCAACACAAGACTTTCAGGATTAAGCAATTCCTGGCCAAGCTCTTAAGAGGCTGTGTTGCAAGTTGAACCCAAGTCCTCTGACTCCAAATCCATGCTTTTTCTTTTTTGAGATGGAGTCTCACTCTGTCACCAGGCTGGAGTGCAGTGGCGTGATCTTGGGTCACTGCAACCTCCACCTCCTGGGTTCAAGCGATTCTCCTGCCTCAGCCTCCTGGAGTAGCTGGGACTACAGGCATGCGCCACCACGTTAAGCTAATTTTTGTATTTATAATAGAGACAGGGTTTCATATTGTTGGCCAGGATGGTCTTGATCTCTTGACCTTGTGACCTACCCACCTTGGCTTCCCAAAGTGCTGGGACTACAGGCTTGAGCCACTGCGTCTGGCCCCATGCTCTTTTTTAGAAACAATTTTATTTTTTATTATTTTATTTTATTATTTTTAATTTTTTTTGGAAATGAAAGGTCTCACATATTTATTACTGAACCCAGCCAACCAACTTCTTCATAACAGATCCAGAGAGGAAACTTTGTTCAAAATTCTCCAGATAGTGGTGACATTTTCAGCTTGATTTGGTAACATGATTGTGACCTTCAGACAGCATAAATATGTGTGCCATCTCATCTGTAATTTCTTATATACCCAGCTTGGTTCTTCTCCAATGTCTCCTTTTGGAGTTATACCTGCTTTTATTACCAGTTTTCATCTGAATCCACTGGGGAATGGATGATTTTGCTTTTGTTTTTTGGCCAGGAATCGCTTAATCCTGAAAGTCCTGTGAGAAGATATGGCGAGAAACGGAGTAAAGCACACACCACAATGGTGGAGAAAGGAAGAGAGCTATTTTTTATTTTTAAGAGACCAGGTCTCTCTCTGTTACCCAGGCTGGAGTGCGGTGGCACTTATAGCTCGCTGCAGCCTTGAACTCTTGGGCTCAAGGGACCCTCCTGCTTCAGCCTCCTGAATAGCTAGGACTACAGGCACATGCTACCTACCATAGCTGGCTAGTTTTTTTAAGACAGGGTTTCGCTCTTTTGCCCAGGCTGGAGTGCAGTGAGCTATCTTGACTCACTGCAGCCTTGACCTCCTGGGCTCAAGTGATTCTGCCACCTCAGCCTTCCGAGTAGCTAGGACCACAGGTGCATGCCACAGCACCTGACTAGTTTTTGTAATTTTTTTTTTTTTTTTGCAGAGACCAGGTTTTGCCACGTTGCCTAGGCTGGTCTTGAACTTCTGCGCTCAAACAATCCACCTGCCTTGGCCTCCCAAAGTGCTGGGATTATAGACGTGAGTCACCATGCCTCAACTCATGCTCTTTATACAGCCTCTCCCAGACACTTGCAGGCTGAAGGGGGACACTAAACCCAGTCTTCCGAGAGCCTCTAGTTCAGTGGGGGAGACACAGGTCTTGCCACGAGGGGCTGTCAGCCATGTGGAGAAGTTACAGTTCCCAGTAGGAGAGGGGTAGCAGGGAGCAAACGCTTGGCGTCTACTATGTGCCAGGCACTTTGCATAGGTCTCTCTCTCTCGTTCTTGCTGCAAAATCCCATTTTCCAGATAAGGCCTGAAGCTCAGAGAGCTCAAGTAATTTGTTTTAGGTTTCCTAGTAAGCCCAGTGACAGGGCTGGGGTCAGAATCCAGGTCATCCGGAGCTAACACTTTGCTGATTCTTGTAGCGTGGAAGGCCATTGGCTCCAGGATCATCTCTTTCAGGAAGGCTGTAGAACCAAGCACTTGTGGCTCTGGATCCCCATTGTGCCCCATGTGAGCACCTCCCAGGGCACCTGCACACTTCTCAGATGTGTTTTATTTACATACTATCTTCTCTCATTAAGCAGTGAGCTCCTTGAGGGCAGGGGTGAGCTTGGTCATCTCTGCATCTCTAGTATGTAGCATAAAGCCTGAGTGTATTAGGTGTTCAATAAATGCGTGTTGCATGAATGGTGGGAGGTGCTTGGACAGTCTCTTCCTGCGCATCTTCCTGCCTTCTTGGCATTAACCCAGTGATGATGGGTGGAAGGACACCAGAGGATGGATGGAGGGGCTGGGGTTGAGGTGTGGGAATCTGTCTCGTCTGGCAACCTTTCCAGATTTCCCACACTTACCTGCACTCGTGCTTCATCACAGGCATGTTGTGTGGTGTTGTCCGGCCTCTCCTGCACTCCTGCCTCTGTGTCCCGGCACCTTTACTCCTCTTGGGTTTGCTGACCAGGGTACGTGTCTGGCATTGGGAGCAGAACTATTCTTCTCCATTCCATTTTATTATCACAAGAGCTTCAAGAGGCAGGAAGGGTAGAGTTGATCTACCTCCATGTTACAGCAGAGGTCAGTCAAACTCCAAGTTCACACAAGTTGGTGGCAGAACAGGGTCTAATGATGATGAAGGAGGGAGATGGCGTGGGGGCGGTTTTCTGAATCAGGCACAGGCTGGGCTTCCCCAGGAACTTGAGGAAGCTGGTTCTGTTTGCCCTTCTCCAGGGCATGTGGGGCAGAAGGGTCCCCACTTCATCTGTGAGATGGAATGGAGAGAATCCCAGAATCTGGGCCCCGGGTGTCACTTTCCAGCCCTTCTGCAGTCTTGATGGTTGCCAGTAGGTGCCGTCAGTTTGCAACTTTTTGGTCTGTCCTGCAGGTCCGGCTGCAATCTCCCTGCAATCATCCTCGAAGTCTGCATTTGGAGAGAGTAGGAGGTAGTCCAACCCCTGTGAGGCTGAAAGACCCCTGTGCTGGGGGAAGAAGCAGGAAGAGGGTCCCTGAATTGCATTTCAGCTTGGCTGACCTACAGCTTTCTAGGCCAAGCCAAAAAAGAAAAAAAAATCCACAGTGGGTTACTGATTATTCCTGGACAGCACCCTTATCCTGAAACCAGCTCTAGTACAGCAGAAGCCTTTGTAGGGAAGGATGGTGTGAATTAGGGGGGCCTGAGAGAGAACCTAGGAGATAGAACTTTGCTCCAAATGCTACTTCAGGGCTCTTCTCAGTTTGGGCAGGATTGGGCAAGGCTAGGGGGAATAGGGGCATCAGTAGGATTTCACAGAGGGTCAAACCAGGCCCATTACTAGCCCAAGTAGCAACACTGGGTGAATTATAAAAGCATTCCTTCCTCAACATTTTTTTTTTTTGGTCTTTTTTTTTTTTTGAGACAAAGTCTTGTTCTTTCACCCAGGCTGAAGTACAGTGGTGCGATCTCGGCTCACTGTAACCTCTGCCTCCCAGGGTTCAGTGATTTTCCTGCCTCAGCCTCCCAAGTAGCTGGGATTACAGGCACATGCCACCATGCCTGGCTAATTTTTGTATTTTTAGTAGAGATGGGGTTTCACCATGTTGGCCAGGCTGGTCTCGAACTCCTGATCCCAAGTGATCCGTCTACCTTAGTGTCCCAAAGTGCTGGAATTACAGGCCTTAGCCACCATGTCCGGCCTTCTTTTTTTTCTTTTCTTTTTATTTTTCAGACGGAGTCTCACTCTGTTTCCCAGGCTGGAATGCAGTGGCATGATCTCAGCTCACTGAATCCCTGTCCCCGGGGTTCAATCAATTCTCCTGCCTCAGCCTCCCGAGGAGCTGGGATAAACAGGTGCCTGCCACCGCAGCCGGCTAATTTTTGTGTAATTTTAGTAGAGACGGGGTTTCACCATCTTGGCCAGCTGGCCTTGAATTCCTGACCACGTGACCTGCCCGCCTTGGCCTCCCAAAGTGCTGGGATTACAGATGTGAGCCACCTCTCCTGGTCTTCTTCTTCTTTTCTTCTTCTTCTTCTTTTTTTAAGAGACAGAGTTTTCTTCTTTCACCCAGGCTGGAGTGCAGTGGCACAATCCTTGCTCACTGCAGCCTCCAACTTCTGGGCTCAAGTGATCCTCCCGCCTCAGCCTCCAAAGTGCTGGGATTACAGGTGTGAGCCACTGCTCCAGGCCCTTCAAAATCCTTCACTGCCATCTGGTAAATGATCACAACAGCTCAACAAACACATAATGACTACAGGAATGGTGCCCCACTGGAGTTGTTCAATGAAAAACGTGCACATTGCAAGTGGCAGTCTCCCAGGCCTGCCTCCCTCCAGGTGGGGGTCTGAGTGGGCCTGAGAAGCAAACGTCCAGTAAGGAGGAAGAGGCTAGGCGGCCCCTCCCTCCCTGGGAAGGCAGGGAGGACCAGGGCCCAAATGAACCCTGGGGAGACTGCGGGGGGAGGGAGAGTTTGCAAAGGGCAAGGGGAAAGAGAGCCTGTTACCGTCTTGGGGCCACCAGGCCCCTCCGTGCCCCTAGCTGAGTGCCTGTACGCTTTACCCCACCTCACGAGGCTTTGTTTCCAGCGGTTGAGACTGGAAGCACTGGGGTGGGGTGGAAAGGCTGCTGCCCAGGGAGACAGGATCCAAGGGGCTGGGAGTCCGGGCTAGGAGGTCCCTTTCTCGGTGGGAGACTGAGGCCGCGTTGGCGGGGCGGGGCGAGACTCCTCCGAGGTCGGGAGAGGGGGCCCCGCAGCAGCCCCTTGGCTTCCCTTCTCCCTCGCCTCCCCTCCTGGGCTCCGGCTCAGAGGCACTCTGGGCGCCTGCCAAGGCTTCCAAACTGCGCCGCTTCCTTCTTCGGCAGAAAAGGGCTTTCAGATGCAGCGGCGGCGGCGGCGACTCGGGAGAGCGCCCCCTCCCCCTAACGGCCGCCTCTCCCTCTCCCCCTCGCCGGCCCCGGCTCCCCCACCTCTGGGAAGGCGCTGGGGGTGTGGCCAGGGACCAGTATAAAGTCCGGGGGAGCCGACCCGGGCCTCCGCTCAGCCCCTGGCCCCGTCGCCTCGCCGCCCGCCTGCTGACTTCTCCGCTCCGACTGCGTCCACCCGCCGGGCCGACCCATCTCCCCGAGCCCTCCGGGTCGGGTCCTCCAGGCGCTCCGGGCGCTGCCGCCGTGTGCTCTCCGCTGCCCGCTCGCGCGCCCGCGCTCCCCGCCAGCGCCCCGCGCCCGCGCCTAGTCTTCGCGCGATCATGCTGCCCCTCTGCCTCGTGGCTGTCCTGCTGCTGGCGGCCAGGCCCGGGCTGAGCCTGGGCGACGAAGCCATCCACTGCCCGACCTGCACCGAGGAGAAGCTGGCGCGCTGCCGCCCCCCCGTGGGCTGCACGGAGCTGGTGCGGGAGCCCGGCTGCGGCTGCTGTGCTACTTGCGCCCTGGGCTTGGGGATGCCCTGCGGGGTGTACACCCCCCGCTGCGGCTCGGGCCTGCGCTGCTACCCTCCCCGGGGGGTGGAGAAGCCCCTGCACACGCTGATGCTCGGGCAAGGTGTGTGCATGGAGCTGGCGGAGGTCGAGGCCATCCGGCAAAGCCAGCAGCCCTCTGGTAAGGTATCCCTGGCCTCCCAATTCCCTCCTGAATGCGCTCCCTTCCCAGCGGCTTCTTTCCATCCCAGCCGCCCTGGAAGGCCCTTTAAAATCCCCTGTGAGTTGAAGAGAAGGCAGGTACGTGGCAGGGCCCAGCTGGCATGGGACAGGCTCACAAAGGAAACTGCTACCGAATCCCTAGCAGCCTGTTGCCAACACCAAGGGAGACTGTCCCATTGCTCCATCTCAAACCTTCAAGGGTTGTCCATTTGATAAGGGGGTCCCAGTGGGAGACCTGGCTGCTGGAGCAAGAGTGGCAGATTAAGGTCCAGTTAAGTCAGCTGTCTAGGGCCAGAGGACAGGAGGATGGTGGTGGGGTGTGTGTTGGGGAGGATGGGGGAGGGGGAAAAGCTTTCTGTTCTTGATCCAGGCCGAGGGTGGAACCCCAGGGGTCTGGGGAGCCAGGGCCTGAACTTTTTACATGGTCCTGTGGTGGAGTGGGACATACAAATTAGAGGGACTTTGGCAGTGAGGGGCATTAGACTTGCCCTTCCCTAAAGCGCAGAGCCATATCACCTTGTTGTTTGAGAGGTGGTGGGAAGACAGAAGCCCCTCTGCCAGGCCTGGGCATCTCTGCCTTCTCTGCTATACAGGCCTCCTGTTCGTTTCTCCAGGCAGGTGTGATTTGACGTGTCGGAAAATGTTGGCTCCCGGCCTAGAGCTGCAGAAGCCTCATGTGTGTGGGATGGGGAATAGAGAAGGGGATGGGGGGGGGGCCTGGGCAGAGAAACAGAAAGAGAGAGAGACTCTGAGAAGGCCCTTGCCCTACCCTCATTCTTACACTTTCTTTGTTTTTCAGTGAACCTTTCTCAGTTTCTCCTTAGACTCTGTCTCTTTCCTTTGTTCTCTTGCTCTTTTTTTCTTCCTGATTCGTCTCTCAACCTCTGGTTTCTCTCGCGTTCTCTGTTCCTCAGTGTCTTCTGCCCATCACGCCTTTCTTTCTCTACCTTACTCTGTGTTTCTGTTTCAGTTGCTCTGCTTCTCTCCCTCTTTTTCTGTTGCTCTTTCTCTGTGTCTCTGCCCCTGTTTTTGTCTTTCTCTGTTTCTTTGGGAATCTCTTTGTCTGCTTTTCTGTATCTATGCCTCTGTTTCTCATTCCCTCTCTGACTCTGTTTTGCTCTTCTGTGCCTCTGTCTGTTTCTGTCTCTTATCCTGATACTTGAAGCTTCCATTGTTGCAGTCCGGATGCTGGGACTCCAGCCCCAAGCTTCCTGTCCTGGGTCCCAAACCCTCCACTTCCTCAATCCTCTGCAGCTTGTTAGCCGAGGCAAGCAGGATATAGGGAAAACAGGAAGGAGGTGGACCCCAGGGGTCTGGGCCTTGGGCCTCTCTGCCCCTCCTGCCCCTGGGTAGGGAGAGATGGGTCAGCAGAAAACATTCTGGGAGAAATGCCAGCCTGGCACCCAACACATCTGGAAAGGGGGGGTCCTGGTGGAGAAAGTCGCTGATGTTGAAGCAGAGATGCCAGTGGTAATGGTAGAGGAGGGGAACTGAGACTGGGAGCCAGGGCTGAGTCCTTGGGTTCTTGGGGTACAACAGGGTCACGTTCCATTTGAATCTCCATCCTCCACCAGCCAGAGGGTATCTGGCACCAGATAAGGATGGCCGGTAGCCTCCTTCTCTCTCAGCACTTTGAACGCAAGACAGAAGAGCCCACAAAGGGCTGGGTAGGAATACCTCATCCTCTGGTTGGGTAGGAATGCTCCATCCTATAGTGGAGGAAAATAAGACCCCCTAGGGGTGTGGGGAGGGCATGGCATGAAAAATTTGTGATTGTTCCCTGGATATAAGGCAAACTGGTCTCCAGGAGTGTCTAGGGGCTGGTTGTGGAGGTTCATGCTTGTAATCACAGCACTTTGGGAGGATTGCTTGAGGCCAGGAGTTTGAGACCATCCTGAGCAATATAGCCAGACCCCCGTCTCTACAAAAAAAAAAAAAAAAAAAATTAGCCAATCACAGTGGTTCATGCCTGTAGTCCCAGCTACTTGGGAGGCTGAGATGGAATGATCACTTGAGCCCAGCCTGGGCGACTCTATCTCTAAAAAAAAAAAGGGGGTGGGGTGGGGTGGGGCTGGTGGCTCACACCTGTAATCTCAGGACTTTGAGAGCCCGAGGCAGGTGGATCACAAGGTTCAGGAGTTTGAGACCAGTCTGGCCAAGATGGTAAAACTCGATCTCTACTAAAAATACAAAAATTAGCTAGGTGCAGTGGTGGGTGCCTGTAATCCCAGCTACTAGGGAGGCTGAGGCAGGAGAATTGCGTGAACCTGGGAGGTGGAGGTTGCAGTGAGCGGAGACCTCGCCATTGCACTCCAGCCTGGGTGACAAAACAAGACTCCATCTCAAAAAAAAGAAAAAGGTGTCTAGGTTTAGGTCCCCTTTGGATGACACAGCTGAGGTCTGTAGTGCCCCTCCCCCTTTCTTCCTTGCCTTGTCCTCCAGCCATGCAATGGATGCAGGTACCTAGAGAGAGACGGGGAAGCCTGGAGGTACCTGTGGAGCAAGCTATGCCCGTGCCCTCCCACACTTCCCAGTCATCATAGAATCATAGAAGTAATCCCTTTCTGTGACCTGGGCCACATGGCACCATGTGAAAGGCACCCCTGAGAGTTCTGCCGCAGCCCTGCAGGGTCTGTGGATGAGATAAGACAACCAAGCCCCTACCCACTCATCCTTTTTAGCCTTACACAGCCAGTAGGCCACTGTCCCCTCCAGGTTCCAAGGCTTGGGCCCACTGGCCTGTGAATAGCTTGGTCAAGGGGACCCATCTATTCTTTCTGCCTTTTCCTCTTGGGGCTGAGTGTCTGCAGGTGGCTGGGGGAGGGTGGCCACTTGGCATGCCCCCTCGTTTGGCTGCTGTGGTCCAGCTGTCTCCTATTTGCCCCGGGGGCAGCTCCCCTTTCCATCTCCAGCCGTCCCACCCTCCTATCTCAGCTTTCCATGAACTGGCCAGATTGTGGCTTAACACCACTGAGGCCACCAGAGATGAGGCGGGGCATGTGCGTCAGAAGTCCACAGCTCTGCATCCTGGTACTGGTCCTCGAATCACGGAATCTGGGGGAGTGGACAATGGAAAGATCAGTGTTTGGATGGGGAGTTCGTAAGCTGGGCTCTCAGTCCCTTTGGGACAGGGAACAGGCAGGCCGGGTTAAATTTTAGCCAATGCAGCAAATATTTCCCCCTTACTTCAGTACTGGGAGTCCAGTTATGTCATGGTAACAAGGGCATTCCCAGAAATTCTGTGCCGTGGGGGGAGGGGAAGGGAGGAGCATGGCTGCTTCCCATTTTTTCTTTAGTACTGGCGAAGCCAGCAAGATTGGTGCCTCGGGTGTCAGGAGTCTTTCCACTTAAAGACAGTGCTGCAGAGCGAAGTCTCTCCTCCCTGCCTTCCACCCAGTCTACGTCAGTTTCCTCATTTGTAAAGTGGGGAGGGCAACAGGACCTGCCTCATAGGGTTGGGGTGTCCGGCATGGGGTCAGAGCTTAAAAAACTGGAGTGATGATGAGGATGGTGATGAAGAAGAAGCTGACGCTAGGACTTAGGGAAACAGTAGGACAAGGGAGCAAATTTGGGGCAACATTCAGAGGAGTTGAGGGGGTAGGGCAGCCTTTGGTGCATTGTGCTGCTGTCAACGTGGGAAGAACAGGCCAAGTTGCCTTATGTGACTTTTTATTCTGAGGCTGGCAGCATGACACGGTGGTGGGGGGGATACCCCTTGAGCCAGACCTCAGAGAAAGGGCCTGGTACCCAGCACCGGTGGTCTTGGATTCTCCAGCCAGAGTCTAGGGGAAGGGCGAAAAGACATTTCTTGCAGGACAGGTGAGTGACCCTCTGCATCACAGCTGAAACTCCTGGTCAGGATGACTGGGCCAGCTCAGCTCATAGCTAGTGTCTCTTCGGGGCCAGAGGCTGGTGCTGGGGAGAAATTGTGAGAGTGAAATCAGGCAACAGGAAAGAGGAAATCCTCTGGCGTTGCCACGAACTTTGCAGCCAGTGGTGCCAAAGCTGTGTGGCCTCTTCTCTCTCTGGCTCCTTCCCTTCTCTGCTGCTGGAGCAAAGACTGAGGTTTTCTCTGGAGCCAGATGTCAGCTGGCTTAACTCCAAGCTGGGGGCTGTGGGAGGACCAAGCCTACTTGGAAGTCTCATCTCCCAAACAAGCTTTTTGGAGGTCAGACTTTTCAGAGAAATAGGTCTGACTCCACTCCTGCTCAGAGGGGAACCCACAGGCATTGGAATTTCTCCAGAGGGCACTACCAGGACGAGTAGCACCAGGTGGCTGGAACTCTGTGTGAGCAGGGAAATAGCAAGTATTTAGCCAGTTTTGGAGATGAGAAGGTTAACGTTATCAAGAGACCCAATGCTATAACCCTTACCCCCACAAAATCCTAGCGCCTAGGGGTGGATCCTGGGGTAGCTCCTCAGTCCGCCAGTGGGGCAGGGTTGGGCAAGGAAAAGTTACAGATTACATGAAAAGTCAACAAACCAGGGTGCACAGAAGCTGTTGAAGTCAGCGTGCCCTGCCCTGGCTCTGTATCTCTGACCAGGGCAGGGTCAGAGTGCCCAAGTGCACATGGATAAGGCACATGTGGATAAGTGTGTGTCTGGACGCGTGATTGCTTGTATACATTTCTTATTCTTGAGCCCCAGCCTGTCTGTGTGTGAGTAGGCAAATAGGAATTTACCCTGTGTCCCCATGAGAGTAAGGAAGGAGCTACTATCCCTATCTGGTGGGTTCTACTCCGTGTAGACATGAACTGGGAATAAGCAGGATGACTAGTGGGGAAACTAACAAGGGAGGAGCCAGGCAGGCTGCTGACTCAGCTTTTCCCAGGTAAACCCCTGGTGTGACATGGGGCCATACCAACCCAAGAGCATGAGCCGTGCCTCCAGGCTCACCCTGTGCTCCATGTGGCCCTAGGTTTCAGTGAGCGTACCCAATCCTCCTTAATGGTAAATATCCCAAATATTCATTAATGATCCTCTGAGAGTTGGTTGTTTGTGAACTTTGACTAATAAAAACTCAGCACTGTGGCTCATGCCTGTAATCCTAGCACTTTGGAAGGCCTAGGTGGGAGGATCACTTGAGGCCAGGAATTTGAGACCAGCCTGGGCAACATAGTGAGACCCTATCTCTTAAAGAGAGAGAAGAAAAGAAACTCAACATGGAAAGCATGGTCACACTTCTACTCCATATCTCTTGAGATTTTTGAGGCTGCTACCACTCTAATGCTGCACACCTCCAGGGTGAGAGCTCACTACCTCCTGAAAACACTTCTCCACTCCTTGAACCAAAGAACATTCTGCTCATTTATTGAGAGGAATGAATCACTGTACAAAATAGCGCTTGCTTTTTATTTTGAGACAGGGTCTCACTTGTCACTCAGGCTGGAGTGCAATGGCGCGATCATGGCTCACTGCAGCCTCGATCTACTGAGCTGAGGTGATTCTCCCACTTCAGCCTCCCAAGTAGCTGGAACTACAGGTGTGTGTCACCACACCAAGCTAATTTTTTGTAGAGATGGGGTTTTACTATGTTTCCTAGGCTGGTCTTGAATTCCTGGGCTCAAGTGTTCCACTGACCTCGGCCTTCCAAAGTGTTGGGATTACAAGCATGAGCCACCACCCCTGGCCCCTAGTACTTTCTTTTGTGGTCATTTTAAAAAAGCATGTTCAGGAAACACAAAGTCTTTCCAGGTTGGAAGGGTGTTCCCTGGTGTTAGTGTCCTGGCCTGAGGCAAACAAGTCCAAGTGATTTCCTCCAGCCTTACCTAGGTAACACGGTGGGGCCTTTGTTCACATCTCAGCTCCGCTTCTGTCCTTCTGACATTTGGTTCTAATTATTTAATTCTCGATTTTTTTTTTTTTAAGAGACAGGGTCTTGCTCTGCCACCCAGGCTGGAGTGCAGTGGTGCAATCATAGCTCACTGTAGCCTTGATGTACTGGGGTTAAGCGATCCTCCCACCTCAGTCTTCCAAGTAGCTAGGACCACAGACATGTGCCACTACGTATGGCTAACTTTTATTTTTATTTTTTTGGTAGAGACAGGGTCTTGCTGTATTGCGCAGGCTAGTCTTGAACTCCTGGTCTCAAGTGATCCTCCTGTCTCAGCCTCCCAAATGGGATTACAGGCGTGAGCACACAGCCTGGTTCTAATTCTCTTAGGTGTTCCATTTCCTCTTCTTGCACCCCTGAAACACCGTGACTCCATCCTGAAACATTCTGGCTTTGTGCAAGGTGGGGGCATGGAGGGAGGTGATCACTGGGCTAGCCTAGGTTTCTTTGGCTAGAGACATTCCTTTGGAGGGTCCCCAAGGAAGGGCCTGGATCCCAGATCTTTCTCTGGTTCCTAACTAAGGGCTCAGGATCCGTCTTCTTAGGGTCCCCTTGGTACAATCCTCATCTAAAGTTCATCTGTTTCTTCTTTTGCTGCCTACCTTGGCCGGGGGCAGTGGGGGGGTGGTCTTGCTATAGTGTCTTCTCTTTGGTTGACTCTCAGGAACTTGATGTAGGACTGGAGTCCCCACTGGACTGTCCTTCTTGGGATTTTAAATGTGCAGAAGGATGGATTATATCTACCTCCTCTATTTATTTTTTCCCTTTTCTTCCTCTTTCTAAGCCAGCCCTCCACTGTGACAAAATCTTCTTACATCCGTGGTGAATTTTATCAATAACTTTTGGTGTGGAAACTTACTGACAAAGCCTTTCTGGTTAGATTCCTCCTGGTCTGCTTTGTCTTTATCCACATATTTCTCCCCACAGCCCCCAAACTAGGAGATTGAAAAGAGAACCAACCCCCCAGCTTTGGCTAAGCAAAAAAATACCATTTGACCCAGAGGCAGCTCTGGGACAGCTGTCACGCATGGAGGAACCCGCTAACTCCTCAGGAAAAAAAACCCTGACGCAAACCAGTTGTAACCTCTGTCCGGCTGCCAACATCTGGATTGCTGGCAGGGACTTTGTGCTTAGAGCTGCCAAGCCTGAGCATTTCAGAGGTGGCTCTGATCTGCAGAGAGGTCTTCCCACCTCTTTCTCCAGCTCAGACCTGCATTCCAGTTTTGACTGCCTGGAGGGAGGAGCTGTGGCTACAGTTCTGGGACTTGTGCATGGGTTTTTCTTTTTATAAAAAAAGAATTTATTTTATTTTATTTTATTTTATTTTAGAGACAGGGTCTTGCTCTGTCACCCAGGCTGGAGTACAGTGGTGCGATCATAACTCACTATGAACCTCGAATTCCTGGGTTCAAATGATCCTCCTGCCTCAGCCTCCCGAGTAGCTAGAACTACAGACACATGCCACCATGCCTGGGTTAATTTTTAAATATTTTGTAAAGATGGGGGTCTTGCTATGTTGCCTAGGCTGGTCTCGAACTCCTGACCTTAAGCGATCTTTGCTCCTTGGCCTCCCAAAGTGTTGGGATTACAAGCGTTAGCCACCATGCCCTATTTGGATGGAGTTTTTCTTGAGCTCAGATAGAACCTTAAGGAGATCTCACAGAGGGATTGAAGGTCTAGCCTCATCACTCCTGTCTCCAGATCTCCAGTATTCTGGTTTTGGGCAACCCCTATGGACTTTGGATAGAGTCTGAAGTCTAAGAATTGGAGACTTCAAGGTGGGGGACTGAAGGAATGTGTGAGGCTGTTCTTCTGGTCCTGGGGCCACACAGGTTGTATTTTACACACACACACACACACACACACAAACTCTTCCTCATGCAGGCGGATATACTAACTCCCACTCCTCTCCCACCCAGCCAGTGGGGAGAACCTTTTGGGCTAGAGTTCTCATTGCTCATGGAAACTCTGATTCTGGCCATTTGGAAGAGAGTCAGCAGAGTCCACAGCCTTGGGGATCCCCTGGCTGGCTCAGCCAGACATAGAAAAAATCAGGAAAGGTGACGGGAAAACAATCAGATGGGGAGGGGATGGTGGGAGGAGTCGAATGGAAAGGGGACAGGATCCAGCAGGGGTCCCCCTGCCTGCCTCAGACCTCCCTGCAGGGCCCAGGGGACCCTCCTGCCATCTGGGTAGCTGCAGCTGGTGACTCATCTGAGCACTGGCCTGGGTGGGGTGAGGGACAAGTCAAGGACTTCAAGAGAAATATTCTCCTGAGAGATCCAAGGGAGAGGGGAGGAGATTGGGGGGCGCTGCTCTTGTTTCTTCCCTCTCCCCAGCCCTGCTGCTCTTCTCCAGCACCGAGCTGGAGAATCCCCAGGGAGGAGGACACAGGTGGGAGGCTGGGTTGGTGTGATGCTCTGACTTCTTCCAGTGCTGACCTCTCCTTATCTCGGCCTGACTGCAGACAAGGATGAAGGTGACCACCCCAACAGCAGCTTCAACCCCTGCAGTGCCCATGACCGAAGGTGCCTGCAGAAGCACATGGCCAAAATTCGAGACCGGAGCACCAATGGGGGCAAGATGAAGGTCAATGGGGCACCCCGGGAGGAACCCCGGCCTCTGGTAAGGCTCTCCGACACACAAATGTGCATGTGCATAGACATCCACACGCCCACACACACACAGGCACACACACAGGCATGCACGTATACCCACAATCACACATGCACACACACCCACCCACACATGCACACACACGCACACACGCACACACACACACACCCACGCTCACACACACGCAGGCGCACACACACGCATGCACATACACCCACAATCACATGTGCACACACACCCACCCACCCACGCACGCACACACACCCACATACATGTTCACACACATACACCCCCCCATACACACCATCACCACCAGATGTGGAGCGTGTTCATTCAGCATACATTCTAGGATGCCTACTGTGTGCAAGATGCAACTACTATGAGTCATCGGGACCCAGAGAGAGCCCTCATTCCCTTCCTTGGGATTCCTTTCCTGCTCATCAGTTATATACATGGGGATAGTTGATTGTTAAATACTGAAAAACTTCTACACCGACTGGTAAAAAGCAGCTGCCCCAAGCCCCCTGGGGTTTCTTGGCCTTTCTTAGATTCCTCACCCTGGACCTTCTCAGTAACTAAAGGGTGAATGCTGGCCATAGCAGGGAGCCTGGGGACCTGGCTCCAGGGTCTGGCTAATGTCCCTTCTGAGGGTCTTACAGGTTACCAGTTGTAAGTTTTATCTGTTCCATCTGCTTAGAAATCGCCCCCTCCCTGGCTTTCTGCATAGGTTCCCACAGCCCCATTCCCCACAATGTCCCCTCACTTCCCTCTCCTGCTTTGAAGAAGCTGTTGGCTCGAGACCCTTTCCTCCATGCCTCCCACTGTCCCCCACCGTGTCCTCTGGACGCAGGCCCTCTCCTCACCTCACTGGTCCTGCCCAGCCCCCAGGGCTCGAGGCTCCTTTCAGGGCCTTCAGTTCCCACTTGGCTCTGACCTCAGCCTGGGCCTCCTGCCTCTCTTCCTTCTGCTGAGTTATTTTGTCCTCCCCCGCCTCCAGCCCCAGGGCGCCTGCCAGAGCGAGCTGCACCGGGCCCTGGAGCGGCTGGCCGCCTCCCCCAGCCGCACCCATGAGGACCTCTACATCATCCCCATCCCCAACTGCGACCGCAATGGCAACTTCCACCCCAAGCAGGTGCGTCTCTGTCTCCCACTGCGCCGGCCCTGGCCTCTCCGCAGGATGGCCCAGGATGGAGATCTCAGGAAGGGGACACTCAGGCTGGCCCAGAGTCATAGAGCGAGTTAATAGCAGATCCTGCCTCCCCATCCAGGGCAGTTTCCCCTCTACCCCTGGCTTTCACCATCTGTGGCGCAGACCTAGCAACCCTGACAACCCCTGGCTCCCAACACTCTCTTGTTCACCCTACTGTATTCTTCCTGCCACTGAGTGTTTGAGGTTTCACCTGGGAATGGAGGGCCAAAGTCATGAGGAGTCCGGGAGGAAACTCAGGCTACCCCTCCCTGAAGGCGAGCAACAAAACCACCTGGGTACAGCAAGGGTGGAGGTAAAGCCAAATTGGCTGATTGGAGACAGGCACTTTGGATAGAAGCGGAGGAAGGAGGGGGACAGGAGAGAAGACACAAAGGCAGCAACTTCCCTATTCCTTCCTGCCCTTGGAAGTTGGGGTCCTCTGACAAGCCTCCAGGAGGCTGGGGTGGTCAGCAGGCTTGGCCTCTTCCAGCCCATCTCTGGCCCAACAGAATGGGCAGCCTGTCTGGGCAGGACTCTGGGGTGCCTCCTGCTGGGTGTGGCCTGGGGAACCCTGTCCTGGAGCTCTTTATGGGTGTAGATAGACCCATTCCCCTGCTCCGTGAGCCATAGAGAAATCCACAGTTCAAGCAGCACTCGGCCAGCGGAGGCCTAGAGGGAAGGACAAAGGCTACCCTGGGTCTGTACATCCAGGATGGCACGGAAAGGGTGTGAGAGAAGGGCCAGAGCGGGCTCCCACGCTGTGCTCAGCCTATTTCTAACCTTTATCCTAACGCTAATTTTATCCTTGTCCCGATTTTAAAAACTTTTTATGTTAATTAAAAAAAAAAAAACAATTGCTAGCTTTATTTTTTAGAGCAGTTTTAGGTTTAAAGAAAACTTGAGCAGGAGTACAGAGTTTCCATATACTGTCCCCTGCCACAGTTTCCTCATTATTATAACATCTTAAATTATATTTGTTGCAATTGATAAACCAATGTTGGTATATTATTGTTAATTAGAGTCCAGTGGTTTACATTGGAGTTCACTTTTTGTGTTGTACAATTCTATGCATTTTCTTCTCCTGATTTTTTTTTAAGACAGGGTCTCACGCAGTCTCCCAGGCTGGAGTGCAGTGGTGTGATCACAGCTCATTGGAACTTCCACATCCTGGCCTCTCGTGATCCTCCTACCTCAGCCTCCTGAGTAGCTGGGACCACAGGCACACAACCATGCCAGGCTAATTTTTTTTTTTTTTGAGACAGAGTTTCCCTTTTGTTGCCGAGGCTGGAGCACAATGGTGGGATCTCGGCTCACTGCAACATTTACCTCCTGGGTTCAAGCGATTCTCCTGCCTCAGCCTCCCGAGTAGCTGGGATTACAGGGGCCTGCCACCACACCTGGCTAATTTTTTGTATTTTTAGGACAGATGGGGTTTGGCCATGTTGGCCAGGCTTATCTTGAAGTCCAGACCTTGGGTGATCTGCCCACCTCGGCCTTCTCAAGTGCTGGGATTATAGGATTATAGGCATGAGCCACCATGCCTGCATGCCAGGCTAATTTTTTTTTTTTTTTTTTTTTTTTTTTTTTTTTGAGATGGAGTCTCGCTCTTTCACCAGGCTGGAGTGCAGTGGCACTATCTTGGCTCACTACAACCACCATCTCCTGGATTCAAGCCTGGAATCCCCCAGCCTCAGCCTCCTGAGTAGCTGGGACTACAGGCGTGCGCCACCACGCCTGGCTACTTTTTTGTATTTTAGTAGAGACAGGATTTCACCATGGCCAGGATGGTTTCGATATCCTGACCTCATGATCCGCCCGCCTCGGCCTCCCAAAGTGCTGGCATTACAGGTGTGAGCCACACCTGTAACATACGGAAAAATATTTTTGTAGAGATGGAGGGGTCTCTCTATGTTGCCCAGGCTGGTCTCGAACTCCTGAGTGATTCACCGCCTCTGCCTCCCAAAGTGCTGGGATTACAGGCTTGAGCCGCTAGGCCTAGCCTCTTCCCCTGATTTTTATCCCATTGAAAGTTCTGACACTTGAGCTTTATCCCCAGACCAGTTCTGATCCTTAAGCCAACCTTTACTCCAAGTTAAATTCTGACACTGAAATGTACATTTGTGGCCCTTCCAAACTTTAGGCTAACTTTAGTTATTCTGACCTTGACCTCTTGACCTTGACCAGTTGTTTCTGACCTGGGCTTTAACTCTCACCCAACTCAAGTTTTAGTCATAGTTACTAATTTAACTGCAGCTTTTATCTGATCCTACCTTAATCCCAACTTGGATCCTGCTCATAACTATAATCCCATTCTTAAAGTCCCAACCCAATCAGAATATGTACCCGAAACACCTCCAACCTGAACCCAGCCTTTCAAATCCAGCTGCGCCTTTAAACCTGAGGGCCTTCTTAAGGTCCTGCCTTCTAAAACTCTCTGGATCTTTCTTTCTTGATCAGATTCCCCCTGCTCCAGTGAGCTCAGAGGACTCATGCTCAAAAAAGAGCCACCACCCTCAGAGGCCATCTTAAAGCAGCAACTGTCTGACTTGGGGGCAGGGCTGGGGGATTGGGGTGGGTCACCTGGGGTCTCTTTTCCTGCCTGGGAACTGACCCCTCATGCCCTTGTCTTGGCAGTGTTACCCATCTCTGGATGGGCAGCGTGGCAAGTGCTGGTGTGTGGACCGGAAGACGGGGGTGAAGCTTTCGGAGGGCCCGGAGCCGATGGGGGAGCTGGACTGCCAGCAGCTGGCTGACAGCTTTCAAGAGTGAGGCCCGCCAGCAGGCTGAGGGCTCAGCATCCCCTGCTACTCCCGTGCCCTGGAGGCTGCAGAGCTGACCTGGAGTGGAGTCTGAGTCTGAGTCCTGTCCCTGCCCAGAAGTTTCCCTCTAGTGCACGTGTGCACGTGTGCGTGTGTTTGCATGTGTGTGTGTGTGTGTGTGTGTGTGCTTATGAGCCCTTGGGGTAAGCCACAGCCTGGGGTGTTCTCTTTGGTCTTACACAGCCCAAGAGGACTGAAAGTGGCACTTAGCCCAAGAGGTCTGAGCCCTGGTGTGTTTCCAGATCGATCCTGGATTCACTCATTCATTCATTCATTCATTCATTCACTCATTCTTTCATTCATCCATCCATCCAGCTACCTAAAAACATTTACTGACCATATACTACATACCAGCTCTAGCTTTCAGCCTTGGGAGCTTTTATTCTGACTTTCTCTGATTTTGGCATGTGGAGATACTTCTGTAAGGTGAGCTCAAGCCTGTGGGAGAAGAAAAACCTCATTCCCAGAGTCAGAGGAGAAGAGACATGTACGCTGACCATCGTCCCTCCTCTCAAGCTAGTCAGAGCGTGGGAGCCTGGGGAAGTGTGAGGGAGCAGATGGCTTAATGGTCACGAGACCCAGACCCACTCCCAAAACTCAGACTTGCCAGGCTTCCCTTCTCTTCTTCCCCAGGTCCTTCCTTTAGGTCTGGTTGTGGTGCCATCTGCTTGGTTGGCTGGCAGAGAGACCCTGCTGTGGGCGAGGGAAGGGGGTCAAAGGAAGACTTGAAGGACAGAGGGCTAGGGGGATGGGGTGCATTTCTTTGAGCAGCCAGGGTGGGAAGAAAGAATGCAAGAGTGGATTGAATGTGCCTAATGGAGAAGACCACGTGCTAGATGAGGGGGCTTCCTGGGTCCTGTTCCCTACCCCATAGTGGTCATAGCCATGAAGTCACCTGGATGACAGTATCCTTCCATTGGCTCACTGCCTGTGGCTCTGCCTCCCTCTCCATATCTCCTTCCCCTGCAGCTCCCTCCCCACACCTCCCTACTCCCCTGGGCATCTTCTGGCTCGACTGGATGGAAGGAGTCCTAGGAACCTACCAGTTGGCCATGATGTCTTTTCTTCTTTTCCTTTCTTTCTTTTTTGTTTTTATAACAAAACAGAATAAAACCAACAAATGTCCAGAGAGTTGTGTTTGACTGACTTATTCACAGTTAGACACAGGGATGCACCAGGGATGGAGAGAGGGGGACAGATTTGGGGAGGTGAGCATGGTCCCCAGACCTGCCTGTATGGTAAGGGACTGGGAAGGACGGTCAATCTACTTCCTCTTCCCTGCAGCCTCTTCCCAGGGAACTCCTTGGCTTCAAAGTCTGCACTGTCTTTCTTAGACTCCCGGTGGGCAAACAATGGCTCCTGAAAGGGGGGTGTGACCAAGGACAGAGCTGTGTCTGGGGTCAGCTGGCATGTGGAGCTGGGGCATTTCCTAGGGTATCAGACAGATGAGGCTCGCATCTGGATTTGATTTATTAATTTGTTGGGAAGGGGCAGGGACACTGCCCTGCATTTGGGGAAAGGGGGTAGAAGCTTTAGCACGTTCCACGGCTCTGACTGCCGAGATCTCTGACTCGGGCATTGTGCTGAGATTGGGGGTTGGGAGGGGTTGACTTTGCTGAAGCCACATCTTCAGAGTTTGTGCTAACATGGTATGCCTGGATTGGGGCCATCCTCCAAATGCCCCTCCTCTCCCACACCTCTGTGCCATGTGTGCGTTTGTGTGTGTGTGTGTGTGTGTGTGTGTGTGTGTGTGTGTGTGTGTGT